CCAAGGTCTAGGCACTTGGAGGGGGGAGTGGGGAAGAGTGTGTGAGCGCTTTGGAGAGAGGAGAGAAGAGAGCAGAGAGAGAGAGAGAGAGAGAGAGAGAGAGAGAGAGAGAGAGAGAGAGAAGGTGGCTTCAGGGGGCGATTTACTTTTGCCCATTAAACTGCCAAAGAAACTCACTTTCACATCAAACATCTCTTGCTTCACCAGTGCCCCCATCTCATGTGGCCTGTCATGTCTGCTTCCTTACCAGACCCCTACCCCAACACACACACACACACACACACTCATTTGACACACTTGATATTTGTTGGCTGCTCATTGATCCTTACACACTGCAATACTAGTATTGAGTGCATGGATCTTTGTACACAAACTTGTCAAGTGAACAGGTGATTATAGAAGTAATTTCCTTGCCAAGTAGGAGGACACACTTGAGGATATCACATTCCCTGCAATAAAAATAATAATGCTAATAATAATAATGCTAATAATAATAATAAATATAATAGTAGGTCTAATAATAACAACAGACAAAGCATGTGATTGGTATTAATTGTGCGAATGTCAGGATTTCACAGCCTCCTTGTCTTTCTATGAAGGGGTGTGGCAGCGGTGCTGATACAGGCTGCCATCCCCACACTTTATACAATATACATTGCTATACATTATTATACCAATTATTTATTATTCTAAATGTCGCACTTTACATTATTCCCCACGCTGCTCTCATTATCACCTTGACGGGTGCAGATTAGTCGGAGAATGGCAACCACATGCACGCAGCCGTGGAAAACACGCTGGACAGAGCTGGAAATTACGCCCACGGCTGAAAACATATAGGTTCCCCCTGCAAGATATATGATGTTTAACGGTATAGTGGAGCGATACTGCGAGGATTTACATGGGGTCTTTGACACAGCAACCACGTTTTACACAGGTGACCGCCTTCTGATGTGTGCGTTTCAAACATGGCAGCACGTTATATCAGGAAAAAAAAAGTTGGAAACAATTGCCTGTGGCTTTAGTGGCAGCTTGACAGAGATGGTAACTTAACATGGCGGAGGCTGGTTTTCCCTGGCCAGTGCAATGTAACTTACGTTACCAGCCCCTCAGTGAACTCTCCATGCCTCTTTGACTCCGTCGTCCACACGCTGAATCCTGCGGTTTCAAAAAAAACACACACACACACACGCACACAAATCCTGAGACCAGGCGACCCCCTGCAGCAGCCCTGTGCTCTGTAAAGTCGCACAGACCAAACCGATGCCACCAGAGAGGTCGACGATTAAAGGCTCCACAAGTTTCGTTGATTCCAAATGAACATCACAGCCTGTGAACACACAACTTATCGCAGCGACCCATTCAAAAAAGCCGAGCGGAGGAGCTGAAATGCAGTGCAGTCACATAGAGGAGAGGCTCCCATCCAGCAGACTGGGACTCCCTCCCTCACACACACATACTCACTCACTCAGTCACAGCGTGCAGTTTTATTATAAAGCTTGGTCGGAGAGAAGGTCAGACAGATACCCGTGTCTGCTGCGGGAGAGATGGGCAGCAGAATAAGCTGATTACGGGGTTGTAAACCTACCTTCAGGTCCTCAACGAGAGCATTTCAAGCAAGTCAGCCCTGAGAAGATGCACATTAGCCGACACAGTCCCGCTCCTCAGCAGTAAAATATTCTCCGCGTTGAGGGAAAATTTCCAAGGGGCCGGACAGTGTGTGAGCAGCAGCAGCAGCGGCACCGTGTGTATGATTGTGTGTGTGTGAGTGTGTGTGTGTGTGTGTGTGTGTGTGTGTAAATGAAGAGAGGGGGGGTAATCCTTCGGTGGGGCAAAGAGGAAATACGTCATTATTAATGGACCACAAGCTTTGTAGTCCATTGATACATCTCAACAGGGACTACAAATGGGTTTGCATTCTTTGATATATATATATATTTCTTATTTACATATGTAGGAATTTTTAAAGTGAAATCACCTCGTCTGGACAGATTCTCAGCTGCAGTTTTTATTGTTATTAATAGCCCATGTTGGCCGATCAGTGAATGTCCTATAGGCCAAAGCTTTTTTTGTTTTGTTTTGTTTTTAAAAAGAAGATAGATAGATAGATAGATAGATAGATAGATAGAGAGATAGATAGATAGATAGATAGATAGATAGATAGAGAGATAGATAGATAGATAGATAGATAGATAGATAGAGAGATAGATAGATAGATAGATAGATAGATAGATAGAGAGATAGATAGATAGATAGATAGATAGATAGATAGAGAGATAGATAGATAGATAGATAGATAGATAGATAGAGAGATAGATAGATAGATAGATAGATAGATAGATAGATGGATGGATGGATGGATGGATGGATGGATACTTTATTTATCCCCTAGGGGAAATTCATGAAAAGGAAGGAGAATCAGGGAAAATCCCATGTGGCAGGCATCCAAACATCACCACCTGCTCAAATATTTGAGAGGAAGTTCAGTGGCTGGGCAGTGAGGGGCAGTGACCTCAAACCAGCCATCTTTATATTTCTCCCCTGCTGTGCCCCACAAATCGCATTTCCCAAAAGCATCATAAACTTTTATAAAGTTGGGGGATTTGTGAGAGGTAGATGAAAGGCCCCCCTCCAGACAAGTTTCGGGGCATATAGAAATACTCTGCTTGGAATTATAGTTTTTGTCTTATGTGGTTTTTGCACTGAAAAGTTCGAGTAATTGGTTAAAAACTCTTCAAATTACATCTACTTCTTCTCCCTTATTGAAAAATCCACAGTCTGTGAATATGCAAATATAGATTGCCTCTCTGCTGGACATGAGATGTTTCCTACTTCACTAAAAAGTCTATTCTCAGTGTATGTGCACTGGAGACTTCAAGTGTCCACGTCACTCGTGTGTAAATTTGCTTATTGGACCACGACTGGGTTTCCAAACTAGTTGTGATGTCACAAAATACTGCTCATACTTAAACATCTTGAACTCAAATTTAGGGTAAGCACAGAGAAACTTCATCTTTCAGCAGATGAATTTGTTTTCTAATGTCAAACTCTGCACATACATCATTCTGCACAGTGAGATCTAATAACCAAGCTAAGTAACAATATCAGCAAAGCATAATTTTGAGTGGAGGGGGAGTTTAAAAAAGGACTCATCAAGTTCAGAAGTATGAGTCAAGCTCCAGAAATCCTGGAGCCTAAATTTCCCAAGATGCAACTTTATAGCATCTTCAGACCCTGGTTAATGCCCACATCTTTCAAACACCACGTCGCAATTTTCTCTGTAACACTTTAAGTTCCCTTAAGTGGAATTCATATGCAGTATACATTGTGTTTTACTATATTGTCATTCATTATCTGTGAATACAACAGCATCCACTTATGGGTGTCCAGAGGAGGCTTTATAGCTGTTGATGAATACATTTGTAAATACTCTTCAACTTCTGCAGACTGTGTAGTATTCTTACTGTGACGAGTAAACTGATTGTCCTGTGTGAAATTGGTGGAGTGCCCCTTTAAGGCTAAGCTCTATGGTCTGAGATCATTCTTAAGATGCTTTTAGGAAATGGGGCCCAGTCACTACCTGGAAGTGGGACATTTGAGTATTTAATTATTTTACTTTTGCTGGGGTCAGTTGGGTTAACGCAGGACAAAAATATAAGTTGAGGGATTGGAGACAGTTGCTCCACATGCTATAAGTGGACACTGGGTCCTTGTTGTCAGGGTACATTTGGGTGAAATGTGAACCTGGGGGAGCAGGGGGGCAATGCCTAAAGATGTTGACCCCAGCTGGAGCAGGACAATCACAGCTAAATTCCAGACATTCTGATGGAAGCCACTTGTTACTGTCAGAGCAGTTAACAGTGTCCTTCCGTCTGCCTCACACAGAGATCTGTCTGCTCCTATAATCTCCACACTTCCACAAGCACTTTGGCATAAATCACCTGGCATGTTACATGTTTCAAAACAAGAGCCTGCTCTGTTTCCAGGCAGAAAAAAAACTTCTCAGTGACAAGTTTGTTGTCATCTGTTCATAATTCATGAAACACTACGTTTTTTAAAATAACACCTATTGAACCAGTTTCCATAACACCAGGGTCACAGGAAAGGTTATTACCTTTGAAATATGATCCGAAAGATTTTATTCACTCTGGCAGATTTTATGTTGACACTTTTGCGGTTTCCTTTCAACAAGCACCCACAGGCATCACAGAAGAGGGGAAAACCCTTTCAAGTACAGCAGACCTACCACATACACAGCAGAGATGTCAGCTTTTGCCCCATGTTCAAGATTAATGATTACCGCTGTAATTTGATTATGTTTTTCTGTACTGGAAACATTACATAGGGATCCACTAAACCTTTCTGAAACTAGCAGGCAGGTTTGTGAATCTATTGGTGACCATGTGTTAATTGTTCTGAACACAAAGCACAAATATCTGTATAGATGCTTTGACCTATCAACTATCCAGGTACTGTATATAAGCTGAAATCAGACAAATGCCACCACCTTGTGGCCAAACACACAAACGACACATTACTGAAAAACTATTACTATTATTTGAAATTGAGGTAAAGATGATTAAAATAAATTTCCAAAGAATTCTAAAATAAATAAAAGGTACATTTACTCAGGTGTTTTCCACACAACAATGTCTATCAATGTAGGGGACAGTCCAGAAAAACTTCTTCAATGTGGTTTCAAGTTTTTATAAATCGTATTTAGATAAAGTAGCTTCAGTGTAATTAGCCATACATTAACATACACACACATCAACATCAAACATTTACAAATTCCAGCTCTTAAGCCTGAAAACTCAAACACCACTTGATTAAATGGCTGAAATGAATAAAACAAGGTGAGAGGAATATGCAATAAGATTTTACTTTGAAGTTAAAGCATTTTAATACACAAACTGCATTAGATGCCAAAAAAATACTTTGTACAAACTCTTTTTTTTTTTTTTTTTTTTACAATAGATCATTTTTGAAATGATGGCAAATTACATTATGTCACATTGCTTTCAGCAATCACTGCATATCTTGTTTACCATTTCTGTTGAAAATCTTACCAATTTTGTACATTCAGAGTGGGTCACCACATTACACACAAACAAATTTCACAGGCAAGTTTTCCACTTATACACATCCTAGACACATCTTCTACTCCTGTGCCTCTACTACTTTGGGTTTTGGTTCATGTATATCAGATTCCATCCCTGGCAAACTGGTCCTCCTTCGTGCAGCAGTCTCAATCTTCTGCACCAGCTCCACATCCCAGGGATGAGTGACCAAGCTGAGCACCTCCCCATCCTCCACCCCTCCTGCTCTCCCCACTCTCCCTGCCCTGTGGATGTAGTCCGTGTGAGATTCTGGGAAGTCATAGTTAACTACCAAGCGCACACGAGATGTGTCCAGGCCACGAGAGGCGATATCTGTGCAAATCAGCACATCCACCATGCCGTTTTGGAAGGAGCGGAAGATTCCTGTACGCACAGTAGCAGGCATCTCCCCTTGCAGACGTGCATGCCGAACCCCCATCTCTTCCAGCGAGTACCCCAACCAGTTGACGGTGGCAGACTTGTTGCAGAACACCAGAGCGGCACCCCCTCCTTTTTCATGTTGGAGCAGGTTCAGGGCTTGGTGAAGCTCCAGGATTTTGTCAGCACCCTTTACCTTCAGGAAGGTCTGTTTGACATGTGGCATGAGGAAGTGCAGCATCTTACTCTTGATGACCACCATGCTGCCAAGGTCTGTCACCTGGCTGAGCACTTCCCCAACACCACCAGGGAAGGTGGCCCCCACCACTAGCAACTGGGCTTTACGGCCATGGCCCTGTGTTTGCTTGGGATTACTAGCAATGTTTGTGTGGAGCAGGATGCTCTCCAGCATGTCAGAAAAGCTGGGGTCAAACATAGTGTCAGCCTCGTCTACAACAAAGAAGCTCAGCTCACCCAAGTCCAGGCAGCGTCTCCGCAGGGCCTTGACAAGAGCACCTGGTGTAGCCACTAAAATATCAGGATGATTCCTCTTGAAGACCATCTTGACGTGTCCTACACCTCGCCCACCACCCACAGTCCTTGTCAGCAAGCCAAATGGAGCACACAGAGTCCGAGACACGGCAGCCACTTGCTCAGCTAGCTCTCTGGAAGGCACAAGTACCAAGGCGCGAATTTTGTTTGAGCTCCTAGCATACATCTGTGATTCCTTATCTGCCTGCAGACCGTGAACAATAGGCAGGAGGTAACTCAGAGTTTTCCCGCTGCCTGTCTCTGCAGCACAAAGAATATTGTGACCTTTCATGACCTTTGGGATGGTCTGCAGCTGTACAGTGGTGGGATGGATAATGTTGATTCTGTCCAAAGTTTCCACCAGCTCCTTGCAAATATGGAGGTTACTAAAAGTCACTGATGTTTTCTGTTCAACATCCTCTTTCTGGTTGTTGGTCACATAGGGTGCCACAGTCTTGATGTTGTTGATGGTGAAATAGTCACCAAACGATTTGTTATTTTTCCATCCTTTCGAACAGAGACTGGGCTGCTCGAACTTTCCAAGCATGTAGCCCGTAGACTGGTTCAGAACAGGGTTCTTGCTCTGGATCAGGAGCTTGCCAGCTCTGATGGTATTGATCTTGTTTTTGCCTCGAGTCTGCTTCACGTTTTCCACTTGTTTCTGCATGTAGCGGGGAACACGAATAACCGTGGTCTCAGTCTGACATAAACGAGTCTGGCTGATAGAATAATTAACACAACAGCGAGCCGCCAATAGTTTAACAAGCTGAGGAGGGTAAATCCTACTTGAGCAGAGAGCTCTCGACGCAACCAAAGCCAAACAGCCGACCTTCACAGACTGCATTTTGCTGTTTAACTGGCCTGTCCGCAGCTTACAGTCAGCTGATAAGAATAAAAATTACAAATGAACGACTAACACATGGAGGTGAAACCACTTCAGTGCTCTGCGAATCTTTTAAAGGCTTTTTAAATGGCCAAAAAATGCAGTACATCTGTTAGCATCCCGTCTCACAAATGTCGCCATGCTTTCTTGGCGAGTGTGGATGATGTCAAGTGGGCGTGGGGTGATGACGTATATAGAAATGCAACATGTAGATTTGAAATATATGTTCAATCAAAATTGGCAGTAAATACAATATGAAACATAAATGTAAAGGAAACAAAAAAAAAGATCCAAAAGTCCATGGGAATGAAATAAACAAAAACTAAAGAAAAGAACAATCAGGTAGAATTCATACATAAATTAAACAAATTGAATTAATAAACGTTGCAAAAAGATAAAGTTTAGAAAGCATGTTAGCATTTAGTGTCGTGTTCCTTGCGGAAAACGTAATGTTTCAGGAAATTCACAGATATGTCGGCCTATATCGCTAATATTTCGACAATAATACACTCACTTAGTTAATTAGATTCACCTGGCTAAATCTAATGCAGTCCAATACAACAGTCCTGTAATAAATCTTACTTTCAATAATGATATAATGTTCAGGTTTTTTTTAACTGTTTTAGAGAGGTGTTAACTTTATGGTCATTTTGGAGGCTACAGTTTGTGGTGCTGTTGAGTTGTAGTATTGACTGACTTCTATTATTCTGTCCACCCCATTTATATTAATCATGGTAGGCTAAGTAACAGAAACATGTTTCTGTGTAATGCAATACAGCTCAACAGCACCACAGACTATACCCTTGTAAATATCCTTAGTTTAAAAGCTATTATATAGATAAATATATTTGGTTATAAAAAACTGAGTACATGCAGTTTCAACAGCAGGCCAACTAGCCACCATCAGACAAGTGTCCTTCTCTAACCTGACCACCGTGTTTATTTTGAAGGCTTGGACATTGTATGCCTGTTCTAACAGTAAATCAATGAGCTGATCTCTGGCCTAGTGAATCAGCACTGCCTGGAGTACAGTAATGTCAGAGATTGTAATAGATCAGAGAAGGGTGAAAAAGAGCACTGTCATTGACACAACAGTGACTGTCAATAACGGTCCACATAACTCTGAGTTCTGGTCAACCCTCTACAGCAAAGGCTGAGCCCATGACACTGTAGTGCATAAAAAATACACTCGTATAAATCTGAAAATTTTGGCATTGCCATATATAGCAGGCTTACATTTTGTGTGATTGTTATTATGGGGGTTATTCATCCATCGAGTCATGTCTATGCTTTGTAAATGACTACTTAAAGGCTAAAGACAGGCATAATTTTTGTATGCCTGTACTGGGGTTCACAGGGGGATAATCCAGTGTTGCTGCTTTGTCACTGGAAAGTATAAACCAATAAAAAGGAGACTAATCTCACCAGGCATGCATCCAGAGAGGGTCCAAAGGGGGGCACAAGTTTCTGCAGTTTATCCCCATTCCTCTCTAGCTGCTTGATGGGAATGTTTTCATTCATTTACTTTGGTTCACACATTCACACTTTTATCTTTGCATCATATTATTTTCTGTAAAGGACAGTTGTGTTTATGCTTGGCATTAAAAAGAAAAATCAACTGTCTGCATCAGTGCTGCTGTCACATCTAGCATTGATTGTACAACAGCTACCCTTCCCATGTGCTGAATGAATCAGCTCACTTATTGATTAATTATAGCTTCATCACTCACTCTTTCAGTAACAGACTCTATATCACATGTTGGACAAACCACTGCTATGGTAGCTGGAATCCCCATCAACAGGGGTCTTCGATTACTGTCTCCTAACAAAGAAAGACAGAAGGATAGAAAGAACTGAGCTGGTCATATACTGGTTAATTCCATATATGTAAATTTATTTAATGCACCTTATCACAAGGCTCAAGTATGTCTGACAGGAGCTGTCCGCCTCACTCGTCAGACTAAGTCAATATTCAGTTTCACAGACTGAACAAAAGAGGGCAGCATACATCAACAAGGAAGATTTCAAATCACCCAAAATCTTAATCAGAGCTGTGATGGCAAGTTTGTTCACTGTGTTCCAAGTCTACAATATTTCCTTAGTAGATCACAAAAGAAACAAATGAATTGCATCTCTAGCATTATTTATTTTAAACATTGATATCTAGCAAACTTTTCATCTTTTCACTCTGTCTTAATATTATTATTAGTCTAATCTTATTAGTTAACACAAAAAACATACAAGTACATTTTTACATTTTAATGTGGAGAATGTACATAAATATTTCTTTTTCTACAAACCAATGTTATTGCCTCAGGGAACCTTTAATTCCTTATCAGCTGACATTCTGATACAGCGCTGTGTGCAATTTGATATTTGCTGACATTTAGTGAACGTTGCACGTGTTGCCAAGGTGCTGTGTTGCATTTCTGCAGTGTGTGCAAACCCCAATCCTTGAAAGAGTGACACCTCTCAAACAGGACTAGTGTGTGGGCAGATGCTGTTTTTTTTCCTTCATAACTTTCTTTACAAGAACATAATATCACAAACCACATCTAGCCTCCCACACAATTTGTTGTCTTTATCTTCTCCCTTCAAAGGTCATCTGCAAAGATAAGAGATGCAGGTAACCTGAATTAGACTTGGGTGGGTCTGGAGACACAACTGTTGTGCAGGAGAAAGTTCAGTCAAGTCATGTGATTGTCACATAATAATATGATGATCACTGTCTGATTAATTTTTAGTAAGAGTATTATAATGACAAAGGTACATTTACAGTCAGTGAGTTGAGAATCATTTGGGTTAATTACAACTAAAACCTTGTCCTCCTGTCCTCCTTCCTTTTTAAACACACATGAAAAATAACTAATTCCACAGCATTATAGTTATCATAATCAATTTTAAGTAACTTTTTTGATTCAGTATGTACTTTCATACTTTTCTGATCGTTTACTGGCTCAAATATGTTGCACTAGGACAAGAATCACAGCTCAGGAAGATTATTCCATTTAAATTTTCTTTGCTTCTCTTTTCCATTGTAAGTCAATCTTATAGAAGACTGGGTTCTAAAGATTAATATAGTCACAGTATCACTGAATACAGACTGGAATTTGTTTGGTACTTATATGCAGGTAAGAAATTACTTATTAAGCAACAATTATGTGTGACTAACTTGACCCTAACTGTTGCCCATAGTAGTTCTTAAAAGTAGCTTGTTCTTTTAGATTTCAACACAAGTAATATTATTTATGATTACTTATTATTACTCATTTAATCAAGTCATTTGAGTGAAATAGAATCATTTTTTGTAGTATGTGATGTCAATAGGATCACCACATGTCATGTGATCAGTCTGAAATGGCAGGATACCATTACAATGTACAAAGTTTAGAAGGGAAACTGTAACAGCTTTGGTGTGTATTACTATACAGTTTTGAGAAGAACAAATATCTGCTGGGCCTAATTCATCTGTTGCTTCAGAAGATGGCATAAAAATCAAAAAGGGTTGAACTTTGTGCTTTTGCTTGGAAATAAAGACCACAGGAAATGTGATATTGATGCTTTCAGATGCATTTGTGAGCTGAGCGCCTCTGTACGCCCACATGCATCTAGTATAGGTATATGTGTGTGACTGTGTCAGAAAAGTAAGAGCTGTTGTCTGCTGCAGATGCAATTTGTCTTGAGGATGGACTGATTTACATCAAACTGTTCACTTGCAGAGGTTATTTTCAGAAGTATAATAAATTATATTTAGTGCTTTTTTTCCCTTAGTTCTATGCATGTTAAGCTTAAATATAGAAAAAAAATCAAGCTTAATTATTTTACACAGAGAATATATGATCTCATTTGTTTCTTTTATTGCAAGTTGAACATAAAAACCAAAACTATAATTCTTATTTCATTAATCTGTGATGGGCAGAATGAATGCAGCAATGCACATAATAAAAACTTCAGCTCTTTTATAACTCTTCTTATCAGTCTTGCAAAAACCTTTGGTGAAATATTAAAAAACTTGCTCGATAGAGGCAGATGTTCTTGATCAGCCGCAACTCTGTGTGTGTGCGTGTGTGTGTGTGTGTGTGTGTGTGTGTGTGTGTGTGTGTATGTGTGTGTGCATGTAGTACACGTGGGGGGCATCGCAACAAGAATCTGAATACCCCTGCCAATAATGCTATTAAAGTTATTTGTCATAGTGAATGACAATAGAAATGAAAAGAGTTGTGTGCATAAAATTAACAAAACTAACAATAACTTTTTCATGCTTGGTAGCAGGAAATAACAGAATACTAATGCAAATGTTGTCAGGAAAGAAGATCATCAAAGCAGCAATATGTTAAAGCTTTGGAGTGCATCAACCTGTGTTGCTTGCCCAATAAAGATTAACCTGAGGAGGATAGCGACACAGAGGTTAAAGGGAGTGGAACAGCCAGTATATAAAAGGATTTACTATTGCTTTATTCTAGCCTCTGATTAATCTGAACCAATCTGTGTAAGAAATACTTAGAACTGCATTGAGATTTAAATTATCCTAGAGCATTCAGTGCAGATGCAGTGTGAGTGCTGAGTATGCACAAGATGAAAAACTGGTCAGTCACTTGACATGTCAGAATAACATTTAACAAAGAGCCTATTTTAAATGCAGGTGTAAGGAGCACACATAGCTTTTTGATTGGTCAAATGGATGGGTCACAACATGTTCATCTTTTCAGCCATTATTTGACCTTTGGTCAAAATCTTTGTGTAGTGTCCTGGAATGAAAAAACCTACTGAGTCCCACCATCTGCAAAGCACTATGCAAAATTACCATTTGAGCAGAAAATAAATTGGAGGACAACAATTCACAGTGGGTGAAAAACATTAAGCCTGCAGAATCAGGGATAGAATGGCAAATGATTACAGGTATTTAAACCCTGTGCTCTGAGAACACAAACAACATTATTTTTCAATCAGCTTGTTGTGCCATCTATACAGTAAGTGATCCAAAAAGCTATGATCAAGATGTCTATTCTTTCCTATAGCCCCATTGACAAACCTAAATTGGGTGATTAGCAAATTTGGTGGCTCTGTGCTGACAGACTCCAAGGATCTAAAGGTAAAAAGTGCATTATGTCATTATACTTACCAATCCTGGCTTGGATTGGAGGCACACAAAGAGGTAGGGTTGAGGGCAGGCGCAATCGGATGTAATATGGTAGGAAGAGAATGGAGGACCAATTAAATAGAGAAAATTGGCTGCAAGACCTAGCTGTTGCAAGGTCAAAAGGGTTGTTAGATGAAATTTCAAATACTTACATTTTGGTTTGCAAAAAAAGCTTAATCACACAGGAATAAGACAGAATTAAAGATATGAAATATTTATGGATTTTGGAAGTGAAATGTTTTCAGGCAAAGGTGTCTGTGGTTGCAAAACATGTAACATACTCAAAAGCAATACCCTTTAGGCTCATTGCTTTGTAAGGCTTTAATAAACTGTTTATTAACTGGGGAGCAGCGAGTGTGCGTGTGTGCGCGTGCCCTGTGTTGTGTTGTGTCTGCTGACGTCACCACTGGAACTGCCTTGTCACGCGGGGTTAGTAAAAGTTGGGATAGAGAGAGAGTGAGAGAGAGAGAGAGAAAGAGAGAGAGAGAGAGAGAAAGAGAGAGAAAGGGGGAACGGGACAATTGTAGGGATAATTTATCTGCTTTTGTAGCGAAGATTAAACTAGAGAGCACTTCTTTGTTGTTGAACAGGTCGGGAGACAGAGAGAAACAGCGAGATAAGGAGAGGCAGAGGCGGCAGGCGACTTTCTCTGAAGTTGAAGCCAGAATTTCGGTCGTTAACTGCCAGAGGAAGCGGAGCCAGCGACCTGTATTTTGGATTAGTGAAACGAGGGGGAAACACGGGTTCGTGTGTGGCCAAAAGATCACCAGTTAAATGAACAAAAGTTGAAGTTCGGCGTCGTGGCAGTCGGTAAATGTTGTGGCATTTTAGGAGAGCATAAATTGCTCCAGCGGTCGACGGTCGAGTGGCGGGGTAAAACCCGAGCTGTCAAACCCGATGACTACTGCAAACTGCCCCGGGAATGAGGAGCTGGACTTCAGACTGATCTTCGGAGAGGACGGGCAGCAGCAGCCGTTAGGCCCCGCAGGTCAGTGTGTGTCTCTGTGCCCAGTTGCATGTTTCATACTGTTTGTACTGGTAGTAAACTCATGGCATAATGTGCTGTTACCCACTTAGCTATTGTTGCCTTTAACTTAACCCGGCAGCTTTCGACCGCAGTGTCAATACTGTGTGCTCTATAAAAGAGGAAAAAGAGGAACTGATCCTGACAATTTTTTTTTGAAAAATTGAGACATTAAAACATCACGCGTCTTTCCTGTCGTGGTGGCCCAGATAATGTCCACAACACCAGCTGTCATTAGCTTGATATGCTAGCGGGTTAGCACAAGTGCCGTTTTTGTCGTGTGCGAATGAAGTTAAAACTTTTAAGTATCTCCTACAATTTGTGCACAGATAACTTATCAACGGCGTGTAACTGTGGCGGGACTGCGGCAGTGTTCAGAGTGCCTGATGGTTGATATGGTGTAAGTCAAGTATGGTTGAGAAAGGAAACAGTTTGAATGTCACTTGAGCACATTTCTGAAAAGTAGCACATGCTAATGTTGTCAAAACAAAATAAGTCAAAGCTAGGACAGGTGTGTCGAATGTGTAATTTCATTGTAAACAGTTTTAACTGAAATAAGTATTAATTACTGTTAAATGTATACAAAAAATGTATATGAGCAGAGTGTAAGAGATATTATTTCTTGTTATTATATCTTATTGATATTTGTACATGTAAAAATATTAATATTAAGAGTTGAGTACAGCTATGCACAATGACAACAAATTAGTTAATTACTGGTTGTAAGAAACTAATCTACAAAGGAAAAATTAAATATTGTAATAATAGAAGTATTAAGGAAAATTATTAAAAGTAATGTATTAACACGAAGAGTTTTTAAATTTTATTTTAAAGGTGGATGTCACTATAATACATCCAAACACTAACTGTACAGACAGACTGTAAGAGGAGAGGGCATACATGGAGGTGAGGTGGCCCCCTGCATTGTACCATGGCAAATTAAATTTCCTCCCTTAATAGGCCTGATGTGTGGGAGTAAAAAGTTTAAAAATAAGCTCTATCTACTGTAGTACAAGCAAATGTAAGTTAGAGTTTTGTCACTAGTTTCACATGTCACAAACAACCTTATCAAAAAGCTACATTTTTTTGTGGTTTAAGGTGTACACCATGATACATGAATTGGCTATGGTTTGAATCTAGATGAGGATTTTGCAGCATGACACTGCCATCACACTGCACTCCTAAAAAGGTAGAAACGGCAAATGAAAGGACAAAACTAACTTTTTAGAGGGTTATATTGGAAACCAGAACCACAGAAGAAGTGAATGTTACTGATGCAATGCCTGGGTTTATTGATTTATGATTGGTTATACTAGCACTGACTAGCACAATTGTATTGGGAAAAGCAATGGAAGCAAAGTAGGTAATCAGTAAGAAGATAATTGGAGAATTAAATATGAGTAGAATTAAAGAACTTATTTCATAGGGCAGATATTTTGGATTAAGTTTGGGCAAACATTCTAATTATTGTTTAGTTAAGTGATGTTTGTTGCAGGTTTCAGGACGGAAATGAAGATTTCTATTAATATATTGATCGTATTTGTTATTTACAGGTGCTTAATGTGCTTACATTTTGTCCACTCGAGGCAGTTTCTGTTTGAATGCAATGTATAGCAAAATGCAAAATGGTAACGCTGATATCTAATATGACAGATTGGAACAGATTTCATCCTTTCGATATTTATTTGTTGTCACTTGAGGCGACAGAGTGACAGAACAGATATCAAGGATTCACCTGCTATTGAAAAAATGCAAAAAGAAGAAGTTAATGTTATATGTTTGCTAATGTTGAATAGAGATAATTTGTGCTCATATATTAGATCATTGCAGATTCTTGAAAAAGGTGAAATGTTAACTCAGAAATCAGGACAGGTACTCATAAAGTCTGTCTTCAAATGTCTGCATAATAATTGCAGACAAACAGGTAGACTTCCATGGTGGGAACTAGACTCAGGTGGTGTTGCAGTGAATTGAAAAAATATTGGAAGTGGCTGAAGAGGCTGTGGAAATGATAAATTATCGGATATTGCTAAAATGAACTACACCCATAGTTATTCCTGCCATAAGCTGCTGTATTTTGGGGTTTGGGTTCTTTACTCAGTCAAAATTCGGGAAGGCTGAATTAAGATCATAAAAAGGTCATGAGCTACATTTGAACCCACAAAATAATGCATGTGGCATTTGCCTTGGTCTGTTCACCCATGATAAATTCAGCTTCTTCATTTGTTTCTGTCTCTGGGCCTAAACCACTGGAACTAGTGAATTCTTTGGCTGTGTCCTTTTCATGAAACTCTGGCAAAGTAATGGCTCCATGAAGGTTTGGCTTGTGCAATCTTAAATCAATTTTTCCTTCGATTAAAAAAGAAGTTTGATTTGGAGATGGGACGAGGGGAAAAACTGCAGTTGGAATAAGCGTAGGAATAAAAGCACCACTGTGCAAGTGGTTTTAATCTGGTCCGGACTGTATGACTTGGCCCAAAAGGGGGGTGCCTGTCCAAATTAATAACTGGAGTGTAATACAGGATCACACAGCCAGAGTAACAGGGAGTTGCACACTGCTGCGTTGGTCTCCTTCTCTGAAGACAAGGCTCAAGTCAGGACTTGTTTTTCTCACAACCTGGAGAAACTCTTATGTGAATATCTGACAGGTTTCTGCTCCCCTGAGCTTTTACATGTTGCTTGAACTGGGATGTGATTGTTATCATTTCAATATCTATGCAGCCGGTTTTTCAGATGTTTGATTTAAGTATTATGAAAAGGAGAGGTAACTTCTTCCAAAATAAAAATGAAAATACAGTGCCACATTTTCTATCTCTTTCAGCAACTGTACCAAAACTTACAATAATCTCCTTTACTTTCTAAAAAGGTGTTGTTATGGGAGCTGGTTACTTGTGTTTATGAAAAAATCTCCACTACATCCTTGTTATACTTTCATCTTATTCTTTAATGGAGCTGACTGGTGGATGTTGGCTTCCTTTACACTTTTACTCAGCTCAGCTGTCTGTAATCTTCCTGTCATTCAGCATTTCTCCTTGCATATGTGACTGTGATACAAAATCTGTGTAATGGTGTGGTACAGAATAACACCCTGCCTCTCTGTCTGTCTTTTTTGTTTTTTTCTTTGTCTTTTTGTCTGGTTGTCTGTGTGTCTTTTCCCTTCTCTCCCTGAGTGTTTTCTTGTTCTGAAACAGTCAGAGGGGAAATATTCCACTGTTCTATTAGGCAATGAGCAAACTTATTTTAAGGGTTTTTCCCTAATTATTTACTGTGTCACCTGAATAGAAGAATGAATCCCTCTGTGAATTAACTTAACTAGAAAGTGAGACAGGGTCATTCAAAATTCAATGAAAAAAATCTGAAGAAAGGACAAAGAATAATTTAAAAACTATGATTATCATGATTTTTATATATTTACAAAACAGGAACAGCTAGTTTTAAGTTATAGATATACTGTAGGTTGCTGCATACATGTTGGTCAACACAACAAACTTGGACTGTTTATTTTTCAACTATAAAATATCCTGCTCAGTACATACTGTATCTATTCACCATTGTTTGATAACAGAGTTGTAGGACTCTTAGTCAAAAATATTTCTTAAATGGTAAATGTTTATATAAAAAAGATTGGAATTGGATTTTCTTAAACATTAATAGTGGTATTGGCCTCAAAAACACCGGTTGAGCTGTAGTTTGCAGTTGGCCACATTGACTTAAAAGTCAGCTAGCTTGATGCATTTCATTATGTTAACATTGACAACTCACCAGTATGTAGTTAGCTGAATTTCTACTAGCCTACTAACTATAATTTTGACAGATATGGTATTAAGATAGACGAAGATAGTTAAACTGTTCATGGGTTTCCTTTGGATTCAAAAGAGAATATGGTGTCTCTCGTTTTTCTCAGTAACGACACGGAAAGAGGCACTGTTTTATGCTCTGTGCTTGAGGTGTGACACTTGCCCAGAACTGCCATGAGAATCTGCAGCTTTAACAGATTTACTGTTGAAAATCAATGTAGCAACAAGTAGTTAAAAGTGGTTAAATGTTACATTTAGATTAACATTTAACCCTTGTCGATCTAATCTGTGTTAAATCTAGCAAGTGACTGTGACTCAAGACTAGGGGAAAAGCAAAATATTGTGGAATGGTGGAGTATTTCATGTCACAAGAACAGGGTTTTCCATAGGTTTTCAGAGGGCTTAGTTGCTGTCTGGGTTTCAGGTGGTGGGCGTGGCTGGTGGTTTTTCACATTGTTCTCAGCCATTATCCTTACTGTATTTGTGAAAGAAATCTGGCAACATTTTTCGTACCTCTAGTCAATAGCCTATTCTTTTCACCAAATAACATCTTTGGTATTAAATGAAGATGTCAGTTACCTTAACTTGTACAGCTGACCAATCACAAGAGGAGCAGTGAGCCCTGTCATGTCCCATAGTAACGTCAAACTTGGAGAAGGTAGTCATAGAGAAACTTATTATGTTCCAATCAGAGCACAGTGAAATATGACATTATATGTGAATACAGTCCAAATTTGTTTAGCTACCAAGCCAAGTTAGATACTAACATTAGATCATTCAATGTATCTTTATGTAACCTCAACTAACTAGTGTCACTGGCTAACATAACTAAGTAATTCAGTACATGATATCTATGTAATTTAGCTAGGTTAGCAATTTCTTCATAGGTAAAATAGGCTACATTAGTTATATCTTACCTTAATTAGCTTGGTGATGAACATCTATCTCCACCCATCCCTCGACACTCAAACATTCATCAACACTAATGGTTGATTAGCAGGTCGTTCCTGTTGCCATCTCACCTTTCTGTCAATGTTGTTTATGACATTCATTCTGATATGTCTCCTAAATGCCTTTTTATGTTCATTCAGCTTAAGGCACTACACAAAAACACTTAGGCGCAATGTCTAAGCCTTTCTATTGTAGGGAAAACCCTGAAGAAGATGA